AGGAATCAGTGATTTAGAACATTTGGTGGTACGGTTGAAATTCGGTCACAGTAGTGCCAATGTCTTCATTCATTGACGTCTTCTGAAGCTTGGCTGTTCTTCAAACTGCATATTCTCTCACGTTGTCTACTTTGATGTGAATCTTTTTCTGTCCACGTGTTTCCTGTAACAGGTTGAACTAATACGAGGTTCTACATTTATTCCATCTATCTGTCTATCTTGAAATTACTTCTATAGTTGATCAGAAGTCTGTAGGTGTCATATAGATTAGGAATGTTTTTACAAGATGGTATTCATTACGGACCATGACATCAGTTGGAAGGACATTGGAAATCTGAGAGCAATAGAAAGTGGCTGTTTCATCTGAGTATGCAGCTCTTTAGGAATGTTATAACACGATGCCACCGGAGATCCCTAACTGATGTCAGTAAATGATGAATACCAACTTGGAAAATCGTTAAATCCCCACAAACCCTAACCATATTCGAAAGATTGTTTTGTTTATTGACTTCAGTTTTTGGCCTAAATACGCATTCCTATAAGGAATCGGGATGAATATCTATTCCTTTTATATGATGGGGACGCTAGACTAAGACGCGAAATCAGTAGGCCACCTTGACCACTTTTAGTCTACGTTGACTAGGCAGTCTGTTTAGTATCATTGACACGACAGAACGAACCGATGGATGAAGAATCTAGATAATGTGGCTCCAACATCGCGACAATGACGTAATTGCCCACACACTTTGTCATCCTTGAGATACACAACCAACAACAACAACAACAACAACAAGCACCAATCATCATGAACGCGAAAAATATGAAAGAAGGAGGATCACTCAGCAAAACCATGAGGAACGAGAAGATGGGCATACGCTGGCTGAATCGATCAAAAGACCGCAGAAGATTAAGATTTTGCCTATGATAATTTGTGTCTAACGTGGCACAAGCTTGAAGATGTACACGCAAAAACCAAGAAGTTGACAGAAGAGATGAGGCAGTGAAGACAGGACTACCTTCAGGTGAATGTAGAGAAGACAGAGGTGATGAAGATTCACAAGGAACAACAGCATCAACAACTAGCACCAATCATCACTAACGAGAGAAACCGAAAGGAAGTTGTCTCTTCCACCTACCTTCCTAAGCAGCATCGTTTCAATTACAGGCAACACAGGCACCTATGAGGACATCAAAGCCAGGCAGGATCGGAAATACAGCAAGACAGGCCTTCCCTTATTAATCTGAAATCAGTGTGCAGATCTACTCCATTTGGTATAAAGCGTGAACAATATCTCGATTTTCAACACCAGGGTCAAATCAGTGTTTCTATATGGTTGGGAGACTTGACGTGTTACGGAAAGCATTTCAGACAGACTGCTGAGATTCATCAACAGCTGTCTGTGCTCGTTGCTGAAGATGGGATGGCCAGAAAGAATAAGTGACAAGGAACTCTGGACTGAGAACGAACCAGGAACCAGGAACCTATCACCCAACAGATATGCACAAGCAGAAAGTGGAGATGGGTTGGATTGGGCATACACTGAGAAAGCCATTCGGAGATATCATGCGCCAGGCCCTCGAGTGGAATCCAAAGGTGAGACGACGATTGGGGTGTCCGAGACGAGATTGAAATGGAGGAGATCATGTGAGGAAGAAATGAAAGCATAAGCTTAAGAGCAGTCGTGGATGCAGGTGAAGCCAGACTGCAGAGAACAGAATGCGATGGAGCGGTGCTACTAGGAACCCAAGGGACTCATAATAATGATAATAACAATTGTACTGAGAAGGAGTTTCACATCAATAGAATACTAACAATCAACGGTAGGATGAAGTGGGTGACTGACTTGTCAACTAGACATTTAAGCTTGAACAATTGAGAAATGCGCAAATTTAGCCGTAGCAGTAACTAACCCCATTAACAGTTCTGAGACGTTGCTTATTTAGCCTCAAATGTTTAGAATCTATCAAAAAGAAATTATGTTTCACCGGTGTCAAATGTTTGTCGATGTTAATTAACTTAGTATGTTTCTAAAATGACGAAAACTGATATTCACACGGGGACTCGAACCAGCATTACATAGAGCAGTCGTGGAAGCAGGTTAAAGGGGTGGGCTGCAGAGAAGAGAGTGGAGTAGAGATATGCTACTGAAGCCCTATATTCCACTAGGAATCCAAGGGACAAATAATGATAACAAAAAATTTGTCTTTCTCGGAGTTTTGAATACTTTCACTAACCCCCATTTTTTTTCTCACTATTTTGTTATACATTTTCGTTAACTTTCATGTCAATCGCATATTACTGTGAAGTTTGAAAACTTCTGCTTCAGGTTTTGTCGATCTTTCTGCTATTTATTCAATAATTCGATAGACGTTAAGTTACATGTCAGTGATGCGCATAGACACACACCATTAGGTGGTTTCTTTTGATTACTCTATGTGTGCTGGTTAGTCAATGATTTATTCGATTACTTCCAGCATTTGTATGTATAGTCTTTGTCTCAAATAAGAATGTACTCTTAGAGATGGCATTTTCTTTCGCCAAGCCGACAATGACATCAGTTCTTTGATGAATCTAATCAACCATCGTTACATATCATATCCTGATAATATCAAAAAATTTCCTCAACTTTATTTATCACTGCATGAACTCCTTTACATTACTGTATAATGGTCATCGATTTTCTTGCCTTGATCAACTGTCCTCATCTTGTTTTCTGTGATTGGTCAGTATTTTGAACGTCATTGAGTAGATGTGACTTGATTGGTTGCCATGTTGGGAGATCTTCAACGTTTGTGATTGGTTATAATTTAGTGTTTCTGTGTTGGGTGAGAACATCTGATAAACTCAAAAAATATCGCGGAAAACTTGCTTCCCACCTATGATGATTGATGTGTACTGAAGGTAGACGAAACTTGTTATTGGAAAGTGGTTAATATTTTTTTCCTTAGGCTTCATGTAATGCTGGTCCGAGTCCCCGTGTGAATATCAGTTTTCGTCATGTTAGAGACATACTAAGTTAATTAACATCGACAAGCATGTGACACCGGTGAAACATAATCTCTTTTTGATAGATTCTAAACATTTGAGGCTAAATAAGCAACGTCTCAGAACTGTTAATAGGGTTAGTTACTGCTACGGCTAAATTTGCGCATTTCTAAATTATTCAAGCTTAAATGTCTAGTTGACAAGTCAGTCACCCGCTTCATCCTACCGATGATTGTTAGTATTTTGTTGATGTGAAACTCCTTCTTCTCAGTACATTTGTTATTATCATTATTATGTGTCCCTTGGGTTACTAGTAGCACCTCTCCATCGTATTCTGTTCTCTGCAGTCTGGCTTCACCTGCATCCACGACTGCTCTTAAGCTTTATGCTTTCATTTCTTCCTCACATGATCTCCTCCATTTCAATCTCGTCTCGGACACCCAAGTCGTCGTCTCACCTTTGGATTCCACTCGAGGGCCTGGCGCATGATGTCTCCGAATGGCTTTCTCAGTGTATACCCAATCCAACCCATCTCCACTTTCTGCTTGTGCATATCTGTTGGGCGATAGGTTCCTGGTTCCTGGTTCGTTCTCAGTTCAGAGTTCCTTGTCACTTATTCTTTCTGGCCATCCCATCTTCAGCAACGAGCACAGACAGCTGTTGATGAATCTCAGCAGTCTGTCTGAAATGCTTTCCGTAACACGTCAAGTCTCCCAACCATATAGAAACACTGATTTGACCCTGGTGTTCAAAATCGGGGTATTGTTCACGCTTTATACCAAATGGAGTAGATCTGCACACTGATTTCAGATTAATAAGGGAAGGCCTGTCTTGCTGTATTTCCGATCCTGCCTGGCTTTGATGTCCTCATAGGTGCCTGTGTTGCCTGTTACTGAAACGATGCTGCCTAGGAAGGTAGGTGGAAGAGACAACTTCCTTTCGGTTTCTCTCGTTAGTGATGATTGGTGCTAGTTGTTGATGCTGTTGTTCCTTGTGAATCTTCATCACCTCTGTCTTCTCTACATTCACCTGAAGGTAGTCCTGTCTTCACTGCCTCATCTCTTCTGTCAACTTCTTGGTTTTTGCGTGTACATCTTCAAGCTTGTGCCACGTTAGACACAAATTATCATAGGCGAAATGCAAATCTCTTACGGTCTTTTGATCGATTCAGCCAGCGTATGCCCATCTTCTCGCTCCTCACGGTCTGCTGCATGATCCATTTCACCACAATCTGGAAGATCGTCGGTGATGGCGGGTAGCAACCTTGTCTTACTCCTTCCTGTTTTTACTTTAAAGGCATCAATTTGCTTTCCACTGTGAATCTCTTGGCATATGGTGTCTTCATCTAGCTTAGCTGTTGAATGATTTTGATAAAAGTTTGTGGCACTTAAAGCGTAGTGTTGAAGCGGTTGCCTGCCAGATTACTTCTCAGTTGTCTCTGTTGAAGGCCTATAAAGAGTGGATGAAGTTGAGGTACGGAGTTGAATACCACTCTATGCTCTGTTCTATGATTATGTGTGGCGTTGCGCTGCAGTTTTATGGGCATATGATTTGTTCTTCGTGAATCCAGCCTCCTAGTAAAATTGCTTTCTCCACCTAATTTATGGAACAGTTAGACTATGGCAGGTGAATTTTGGCCACGCACATCGCAAATGATCTTATCATTTCAGCTACGCAGAATAGTCAGACAGCAATCCACTGGATTAACCACTCTTATCTGGTCGACGAAATTCTACGTAGATCAAACCTCTTCACTGGTATAATTCATTATTTATGATGACAATTTTGTGTTGAAAATTGAAGTGTCTCTAATCTTTACTATGTGGTTCTAAACAGAAACCCTACTGATACCATTACTCAGGTGGCAGGTGAAAAAAACTACTCGGTCATACACGCTTGATGAAGTAGGCTCCAGTTGTATGGTTAAATCCACCTGATGTCCATGATAAAAATTATAAGTAGTTTTTAACTACTCATATTTTACTCAGTAGTACATATTATAATACGAAAAACTCAGCGACAACTATTTTATTGGTTGCTACATCGTCAGCTTACTACTCATGAGTAGTTAAATTGCCTCAAACGAAAAACGTATGTATACCTATATACATTATAGTTAATGAAATAAAAATGACAAGATGCTTTAAAAAAAATGTCACTAAAAGTGTCAATTGAATAAAATTAATATCACTAGTATCATTATTACTACTGTTAATAATATTATCAGTAATAATAAAGTATCAATACTTGGTTATTCACTAAGACTTCATCACCGAAATATCTTCGACGACGATAAACACCTTTTGAATCATAAATGATACTAAGTTTCGGTGAAGCAGGTAAATCATAAAAAACAGATTGAAAATGAACAATAGTATTCAATGTTTGAAAACTAACAATAAAGTAAACTCGATGACTAGTTGTCTCATAATTACGATAAACACAAAGTAGATTATCTGTACCTTTTGGTGATAATATAACCATTGTATTCTTATCAATCGGTGTATTCATCAATGATACACTGGATACTTTCTCTAAATACATTTGCCAATCAGTTAATTGTTGTCTACCATTTTGTGGTAGATTAATATTAGTAGGCCAATAAGTAGTATAATCGAGATAATTATTAAATGACCATTTCAATAATTGATTGTTACCAGTTACCTATAGAAAGAAGAAAATAGAGAGATTGTAAACGTCAATATACAATACACTAGAAAATGAACCAATCACAGGCAAATCAGTTCAGGGAACATAGAAGAAATGGACCGATCAAATGAAGCGAAGGTATATACATTGGTGAATAAGTCTACCGATGACCATATTCTACTATCACATAATGGAGAATATTTATAGCTCAGGTGGATGATCTCGGTTGTATTGTGTTCTCTGAGGAGCTGGGTAGTTTAATTGTAGAGACGCTTTCATCATCTTTCTCGACGATATCATCAGCAGTAACTTCAGCTGAGAGAATACAATACAATCAAGATTTTTACATCTCTCCATAGAACTATAAATATCCATCGAACTCCAATTGGCCAAGGAAACTATGTGCCTTCTGCTCAATGAAGATAGAAGCCTTTCAGAACGCAAAAATAATTAAATGTTCGATTCTGATCGAACTCATCGATCTTTGTATGACAACATACTTCCACTTCTATGCAAAGATATACAAACACATGAAAGGAACTCCAATGAGATCACAAGCAGTGATGCAGAGACTGGAAGCCATCATTCCACCGTTGATGAAATTAAAAATTTGGATTCACAATGTAGACGACACTTTTGTCATCATTAAAAAGGAGGTGATATAGAAACCACTCACAATTTGATCATCACGTTTTCAGTGACATCAAATCCACAATGGAGAAGCAATCAAACAACCAACTATCATTCCTGGATGTTTCAGTCAGTAGGACTAACACCGGAAAGCTGGAATCCCCAAGTGTACAGGAAGCCAACACACACTGATCAAATCATCAACTACATTAGCAACAACCCAACAATCCACAAAATTTGTTGCGTGCAGACTCTATTCAAAAGAACGAGAACACACTGCACTGCAGTACAACAACTTGACGGAGAAACGAAGAAAATTACTTGATGTTAATCCTTAAGAGGGACGGTTACCTGCGAAACTTTATCACAAGATGCCTATCCCGTACATCATCAACTATAAAGTCTTCGATGGAAATCAATAAACGCATCATCCTACCAAACATAAAGAAGATGTATCAGAAATCACGACTAGATTACTGAAACTACTTGGAATTGGTGTGTGGCGCCTCATAAACCAACAAATGCCCTTCAGACACTATTATTTAGACCAAAGGGGACACAACAGTCAAAGAAAACAAAGTAAGCATTATTTAAAAAATCAACTGGAATGATTGTAATCAACACTACACTGGACAAAGTGGTCTCCCTCTTCGCCTTACTTCACATGAGAACAACAATTACCTATTAAATGTGAAGACATTTCATCACTCACTTCAATGCACGTGGATAACAACCATGGACATGAATTAGACTTTGACAATGTAGAAATGTTGTACGGGGAGAGGAAACGCAAAGAATACCAGAGAATTCCTAGAGTCTTGGCACTCAACTCAGTCAATCAGTAACCAATCATTAGATGTATAGATATAGACCCAATCTACCAACCAATAAGAAAGATGATAAACGACAGAGAGGTCAAAGGTCAAGCAGCGGAACAGCCAACACGGAAGTCAATGACAACAATCATAGGAAACAACCAATCACAAACCAGCTGGTCAGGGCAAGCTAATGAGTCACTCACGGAGAGATACTGACAGCTGGCTCACTTCATACAAAAAGTTAGTGTTGATGACGTCTTCTAGAAAGATAATGAAAGCTCCACGACTAAATAACCTAGCTCAGAAAACACAATACAGCGAAAAGTTATCCATTTTTTTAGAAGTTTGAATTCAGGTACGCAATAACCTGTAAGGACAGAGAGATCAAATCACTGGAGAACCTCGTACACAAGTTGCCACATACTTCCAAGTAGTATACAAAGAAAAGATGTATGAAGAAGGATGCTTTAGATGTCAAGGTGGGAATACATTTACTTTATTGTGACTGATTATTTTTCAGACATGTTATCCAAGAATCAGTCCTCAACCACTGATAGCATTCGTCCGTGGGAGCCCCACACGGTTCGCACTAACTGGTATCATGTCCTGGTCTGACAAACCTGCACGCTGTTTCAACCTGATCCAACTTTGCCTAGCGTAGTATTCCACGTCAAGATCGGCGTCAGTGTTGGCTCAGTTCACACAGCGCATATGCAAGCCAACTTAGTTGATAATGAACTAAAAATTCTTTTCCAATGCAAAATTTCTGTTGAAAGCCTATTAGTACACAAAGATAGAACAACGATTAAGGGATATGTCATACGAATATCCTCAAATCGATGCTAAACATGGTTGATGTCTTCAACTCCTGATGTGTTCTCCACTGGGATGAAAAACTTTCCAAGTATTTTCTAGTTTTCAGCATTTTTTTTTACTAACGAGTGTTCTTCTGGGAGGGGGGGGGGAGGGGAGGAGAATCGACCGATTTTAGGGCAGTTTTTAGTATGAATCTATCTCACCTGTAAGATCGTCAGAAACTGTGAAGAAATAGAGTAGGTGTTTCGTCCTATCCTGTGTCTCCTCAGTAGTGTGCACTTACGCCTATGGGACAGATCATTACCCAGCCATTTGGGGATTGAAACGAAGGCTTAGAATACAATTTCAATTCTTGGTTTGTAACTATTATCATTTAATTTCATCTTTCGGTATGTGTTATTACTTCTGTCACAAGTTACAAAGTTTTCTATGGGACTGAAATCATAAATGAGAATTTGATTACTGTTAAAGTATTCTTCAACCAAATCAAGACGAGAATCAGAAAAGAAACTTTCGTTTTCCGATAGACAGATAAGTCAACACTGAATATGGAACATAAGTGAATCAGTACAAGTTACCATACACTCTATAGTAAGATGCCAAGAACATCTGGATACAGAATAATGTCAAATGAGACAGAAGTTTAATGAAAAGAAAGAGAATGGAAAAGTGAAAGTTAGTCGAAAGACTTAAGCTTTAGAAGACGTTGAAGCGTGAATATATCTATGATATTTTAACTGGTTTTCATTCGTCTCACTGAGAGTTTCCAATTCCTGATTCCTATAGTCTCTGAGACCCCAACAAATCAGTTAGTCTACTCCTGTTTACACAGTTGAAGTCAACAGTGAGGGATTACGTAGACTGATATCGCTTCTAAGTCTGATTATCCTCAGCCTGTTTTAAAACCAGTTCAACTTCGATTAATAGTTTGCATCAAGGTAAGCAGTACCTTGGCTTGAGAAGGTTCAGTCATAATATGCTAATGAGGGAGCTATAAAAAAAGGGATAAAGTTTGATACAGGGAAAATTGCCTCTAAGTTGATTGAGAAGGGGATGAGGAAAACAAGAGACCCAATTATGTTCTAATTATTTCATTTTTTTAATGAATTGAAAATGCAAAGACATTGGGTGTACTGCCTTAGTACACAAACATCAGGTTGGTATCGATGAATTGCCAACACTTCACATGTGTACAAACTGGGAAACCTCACTTTTTTCAAGCTGTTCCCTAGAACTTTTCAAATACCTTTGAAGGAAGACTTCAGACGAATTATATGGCTAGAATTGACTAGATGTTTAAGCATGGAACTAGTGATAGATAGACTGACTAACATTCTCCGTTTCATAACCATACAGGATAATGATTAGATGTTACATTCCCAAGGTGATAAGTCAATTTATGCTAAACTGAAGATTTGAAGAACAAATAGAATAATTAAGACAAACAGACAATTAAAAAGTTAAGAAAGATGAGAACAGAAAGGAAGAGAAGCATAATTGACCCAAGCCCAGATAAAGAGGGAAGGTTGGGCATAGAGCTAGCAACCCTACCCCCTAAAACTAATCCAAACGCTAAAGAATCGGAGAGACGAAATGACGCCAGTTGATGAAAGCTTTCAGGAAGCCAGTTGGCTGATGTGTCTTCTCTCGGTGAAAGCGAAAGTAAACATGGGGACATGGAATGTCCGCATCAGGTATGAACCTACCAAGGCTGCCCAGATTGCCAAGGAGATGAGAAGGTATAGTATTGAAGTGCTTGGAATCTGCGAAAGCAAATGGAATGGAAGTGGACTGTCGAAACTGTTAACTGGAGAGGAGTCAATAATCTACTCCGATATTGTCACCCAGATGATAACCAAGCGGATACTGAGTTCTGGAGTGTCTGGAGTGGCTAGTATGATGTCCCCTTCCCAAGAGCATCGAAGGCTCACTGTTATGTAGTGGAAACCAATCTCCTCTAGGATCATGACAGCAAGGTTCAACTCAGAAGGAAGAAAAGTCACAACAATTCAATGCTACGCGCCAATAAATAATGAATGCAGATGACGAGAAGAAGGAGGAATTCTATGGACAACTGCAATCAGTACTAGACATGACTCCAGTTGGCGACATCAAAATTCGAATGGGTGACATGAATGCCAAACTCGGAGCGAACAGCACAGGAAGAGAATGAATTGCTGAAATGAACGAGAATGAAGAACTGTTTGCTGACTTCTGTGCACTAAGCGATTCGGTGATTAGACGAAGTGTGTACAAGCACAAGGATATTCACAAAGCGACATGGACTTCACTAGATGGACAAACTAAAAATCAGATTGACATCATCTCAATGTGAAGAAAGTGGAGAGGCAGCCTACTTGACACAAGATCAAGAAGAGGAGTAGATATAGGTTCGGACCACTATCTTGTGCAAGGAACCTTCCAAATCAAGTTGAAAGCCTTCAGATGAATTTAGAGAAGATGGAGGTGATGAAGATACCCAACCAACAACAGCATCAACAACAAGCACTAATCATCATCAACAGGAGAAATATGAAGGAGGATGTCTCTTTCACCTTCCTACCTAGGCAGCATCGTTTCAACTACAGGCGGCTCAGGCACAGATGAGGACGTCAAAGCCAGGATCGGATATACAGCAAGACAGGCCTTCAATAATCTGAAATCAGTGTGGAGGTCTACCACACTCAGCACAAAGAACAAGATCCAGATTTTCAACACCAATCCAGCCAAGTCAGTGTTTCTATATGCTTCAGAAACTCGGCGCGTTACACAAAGCATTTCCAACAAACTATAGACATTCAGCAACAGCTGCCTGTGCTCGTTGCTGAAGATGAGATGGCTAGGAAGAATAAACAACAAGCTACTGTGGACTGAGAACGAATCAACCAGGAACCCATCGCCTAACAAATATGCAGAAGGAAGTGGAGATGGGTTGGATTGGGCATACACTGAGAAAACCATTCGGAGACATCATGCGCCAATCTCTCGGGTGGAATCCATTTGGTGAAGCGACGATTTGGGCGTCGCAGCTGAGGGTGACATGGAGGAGATCATATGAAGAAGAAATGAAAGCTTGTGGGCAGTAGTGGAGCCAGGTTCAAAAGACTGCAGAGAACAGAGTGCACTGGAGACGTGCTACTGAAGACCTATGTTCCACTAGGAACCCAAGAGATGATAGTAATAATATCATTATTACTACATGTATAACCTCATGGTTGAGTCGACCGAACTGATTGGTCTCTATAGGCATTTAGGCTCCTGAGCGTGGATGCTTCGATTTTATAATTTTTTGAATTATATGTCAACGATGAATGGTAGCTAGCAGTGGAATCCACCTTGGTGAACGTTTCGTCCTGATCTGGACTCATCAGCTGAGTGATGTTCTTCCCACTACCACATCAACTCATCACCGATTGCCTCATTAGACCACGGAGTCATGACAGCCACTTCTTGTCCAATGGGTATAGTTTCAATGTTGTTACTTGTATTGTCTCGTCGCTGATTGGACCAAACTGATCAGTCTTGTTAAGAAGTGGCCAAAAATGGAAATTATTATTCAAGGTCATTCGCCTTTGTGGTAGAAATAGTTGCATTTCAAAGCTAGACTGGTCAAATTATTTTTACTTAACAATTTTGTCCTTCACTCTGATTGGTGATCTAGTGGCTGCATTTTCTAGGTAAAAGTTGTATATAAGTACTCCGTTTCTTGTCAAATAAATTCACCTTCCTTAAATCAGTCACAAGCCCGTCTTTTGTCTCCTGGTTTTCGTGGGCCAGTGAAGTATCATGTATGGGGGAGACACCAGAGAGTTGTCGGTCAACTGTCTGTTTTCTCTCATTGTATTCGTGCTCCCGTGGTATTGTTGTTGTTGTTGTGGTGGTGGTGGCAGTTGACGTTCTGATTTGTGTTAGAGTCAATTCGTTTTACGCGTCTGGTTCCTACTGTTCGTAGTCTGCTAGGCTCGTCTCAGTCGGAGCGATAATAACTATGATAATTGTGAAATATTTTTCGTACGGAAAAGTATTCAAATAATCATAACAATTATTGCTAACTAGTAGAAAGATAAAGGTAGACTTGTAAGGTTTAACTTACTAAGTCAACTTCTTGTCCAGCCATCATTAAATAACTCCCTGGAAGGAAATATGCTAATTTTCGGATAGTTGCAAAGTCTTTATTATCTTCACCCAATTGAACAACTTTCCATATTGGACTACACTTTCTTAATTGAGTATTATTCATAGCTACAGTAGAAAAGAAAACAATCAAATAAACAGAAGATAATAAGTAGTATAATGAATTTACGACAAATTTTTAACAAAGTGCAGAGTCCTCTTTGATATTTCTTCTTCTTCTTCTTCTTATTTGTCCCTTGGGTTCCTAATGGAACATAAGGCTTCAGTAGCACGTCTCCATTGCACTGTGTTCTCTGCAAACTTTTGAACCTGGCTCCACTACTGCCTACAAGCTCTTATTTCTTCTACACATGGTCTCCTCCATGTCACCCTCAGCTGTGACGGCCAACTTGTCGTTTCCCATCTGGGTTTCACTCGACGACCTGGCCTGGCACATGATGTCCCCAATCGGTCTTCTCAGTGTATGCCGAATCCATCTCCATTTCCTTCCAGTGCATATTTGTTAGGTAATAGGTTTTTGCTTCGTTGGTTCGTTGCCATGCCAGAGTTTCTTGTCACTTATTCTTTCTGGCCATCTGAGCTTCAGTATCAAACCAACGTAGGTGACAGTTGTTGATGAATATCTGTAGTTTGTTGGAAATGCTTTTTGTAAGGTGCCAAGTCTCTCAACCATCACATAGAAGCACTTACTTGACTGAATTAGTGTTGAAAATCCCGATATTGTTCTTTATGCCGAATAGAGTGCACTAAATCTCCTCACTGATTTCAGATTGTTGAAGACCAGCTTTTCCTTGCTTTTTCGATCGTGGCTTTGACATCCTCATATGTGCTGCCTGTAGTTGAAACGATGCTGTCTATGTAGGAAGGTGAATGAGGCTACTTCCTTTATATTTCTCCCGTTGATGGTGATTGGAGCTTGTTGTTGTTGTGGGTTGGGTATCTTCATCGCTTCTGGATATAGTAGGTATTGAATCGATAAACAAAAATGTCGCCAAGAATCTCAGCTTACATCCTACTATGTAAGTTCTAAGGATTTTCACCTTAGCCCATCTTATTATTATTCGATCAACCTAGCCTAACTGATCCTAGTTGACTACTTTGACCTATGAGGTATTTAACCTCATAATCATTCCAAGGGATTTAGTAAACTGAATTATTTTGCCTTATTGTATCAGTAAGATGTTTTCAACTTACAAATTTTGTTTTCAAGTAAGTTTGTCGGTTCAAATGCCATTCTGATCCCCTCCAGCTATACTGGGAATTCTTCACAGAGAAGGAGAGGAAAGCTGTGAAGTTATTTGATATAAATATGGACAGTAAATTGTATCCGAAAGTATGTGCAGTGGTGTGAAAAATCTGAAGGCTAATAATGACCTATGGTTTAAATTTTGTCTATTTTCTATGTTCAGTTAGAAATTCGGCAAGATATCAATCCGTTCTATCAATATCCTCATTCTATGGTGTCATAACAACAAGTGACTTTTACTGGCTAGTTGGTGTTAACTTCGTGCATATACTCTGTCTTATCTTCTCAGTAATAAAATATCTTCATCGATTATGAAGGTGATCGCTGGATGAATGTTATTGAATTCATCGATAGTGATATTATTATCAACCTTCATCTTACAGATCTCTGATGACTATAATATTCCAGCTGAAGAATTATTTTATTAACGGTGGACTATTTTCATGTTTGATTGGGGGGGGGTGGGGAAATTCCCCATATGATCAAAATTAGTGTGAAGTCTATGACCTAAGCGTCCCTTCGGTTCCTAATGGAACATAAAACTTCAGTAGCATGTCTCCAGTGCACTCTGTTCTCTGCAAACTTCTAAACTTGGTTCCACGACAGCCCACAACCTTTCATTTCTTCCTCACACCATCTCTTCCTCCATGTCACCCTCAGCTGCGACGCCAAACTCGTCGTTTCCCATCTGCGTTCCACTCGACGACCTGGCCTGGCACGTGATATCCCCATTCGGCCTTCTCAGTGTATGCCCAATCCATATCCACTTTTTTTACTGCATATTTGTTGAGCGATAGGTTCTTGGTTGGTTTGTCGCCACGCCAGAGATCCTTGTTGCTTATTCTCATTATTCTGGTCATCTGAGCTTCAGTAACGAGTGAGCGTGGGCAGTTGTTGATGAATGTGTGCAGTTTGTTGGAAATGCCTTTCGTAACGCGCCAAATCTCTGAACCATACAGAAGCACTAACTTTCCTGAATCAATGTTGAAAATCAGGATGTTGTTCACGCTTTGTGCTGAGTGCAGTGAAGTAGATCTCCACACTGGTTTCATGTTAATGAAAGCCTGTCTTGCTTCTCCCATCCTGGCTTTGGCGTCCTCGTCTGTATCTGTGTCGCCTGTAGTTGAAACGGTGCTGCCCTGGGTGAGTAGGTGAAAGAGGCTATTTCCTTTAAGTTTCTACCGTTGATGGTGGTTAGTGCTTGTTGTTGCTTGTTGTTGGTACCTTTGGTTAAGTATCTTCATCACTTTTGTCTTCTCGATATTCACTTGAAGTTTCGTCTTCGCTACCCTGCCCTACCCTGCCTCTTCTGTCAACTTGTTAGTTTTCGCCTGTAGATCTTCAGGTCTGTGCGACATCAGACACAAGTCATCGGCGAAATCCAAGTCTTCTAGGTTCTTTTCCGTGGTCCATTGTTTCCCCCTCTACTTGCTCCTCACTGTTTGTTGCATGATCCAGTCCACTACAGTTAGGAATATCATGGGTGATAGCAGGCAACCTTGTTTCACTCCTGTCTTCATTTCACTTCAAAGGCATCACTGAGCTTTCCATTGTGAATTACTTGGCATGTGGCGTCTTCAAATAGTTGTTGAACGAAGTTGATAAAGGTTTGTGGTATTCCACAGTGCTGGAGCAGTTTCCAAATTACTTCTCGGTTGCCGCTGTCGAAGGACTTTTCAAAGTGGATAAAGTTGAGGTGAGGTAGAGTTGAGTTGACTGCCATTCTATGCTTTGTTCTATGGTGATGCTTAGCGTAGTATTGCATTTTGATCCGCACATGATTTGTACTTCCTGAATCCGGCCAGCCTGTTCCAGTCGTAGTTTTGAATTCAGCGTATCCTTTACTCTCTCCAGGATAATGCGGCATAATATTTTGCTTGTGGTGACGGGAACAGCAGCATGATTCCGTGCCAGTTCTTGCAAACACTTGGGTCACCCTTCCTCGGGAGTTTGACAAGATAACCCTTCTTCCAATCAATGGGCAGGCATCTTTCTTTCCTTCCAGACCTTCTGCAGGAGTGGTGTGAGCATGTCCACTGTTGTCTCTGCGTCTGTTTTCAGTGCCTCTGGCGGGATTCCATCTGGTCCTGCTGCTTTCCAGCATTTCAGTAGCTTTATAAGGCTCAGGATTTCGACTTTTGTTGGAGGATTTGTGTTGACTTGCAGTTCTGTGGCTGCAGGTGGTGGTTGATTGAAGAGCTTTTCGAAGTGGTCGACCCATCGTTTCCTTTGTTTCTCTTCTTTGGTAATTAAATTTCCGTCATCACCTTTTATTAATTTCATCTGGGTTGATCTCTTTCCAGATAGCAACATGGTTATTTGATATAATGTTGTCAGGTCTCTTCAACCAGCAGCCTGTTCTGCTTCACTTGCCAGTGTTTCGTAGAAGTGTCTTTTGTCTTCGTGTGCAATCTTCTTTACTTCTTTGTCCAGTGTAGTGTTTTATACGTTGTACTCAGTTCCCTATTCTCGTTGTGCATCCTTGCACTGGTTCATCTTCTGCTTCACCATCCTCCTCTCCCTGCTCTCTCTATCAGCTTCCATGTGTCTATCAACATCCATTCCTAATCTGCTTTCTTCTTCCTTCCTAATACGGTTTAGATACGCTGAGATACTCCATCGTAAATTATATTCAATGTTTAAAGAAGAGAGATAAAACATCACATGATATCAGGAATTTATTATTCCGTGTCAACTCTTCAATCTTACAAACGTAGCTTCACAATTTCTTGGTTAAATGGCTTCAAGAGATCTACTAACCATTTCGCCGTTGAGTGATATTTTGAGTTAGACAATATTTAGCTGCTATTGTCTTAGGCACATGATTAACCGATTCAATCGTAAAACGTTGACCTGTGCATGTGATCCATCACGAATATCTTTGCCCAAAACACGATTTATTACCATTATTATTTGTACCTTAGATTCCTAGTGGAACATAGGGCTTCAGTAGCACATCACCATTTCAATCTCTTGTCTGCAGTATTTTTTTCTAACCTGGCTCCACAACTGCATAGAAGCTGTTATTTCTTCTTCATATGATCTCCCCTATGTCATCCTCGGATCTAAAACTTGTTGTTTCCGCTTTCGGTTCCACTAGAGGGCCTGACGCGTGATGTTCCCAAATGGTCAGTGTATGCTCAGTCCATCCCCACTTTCTTCGTCTGAATATTTGTTGGGTGATAAAATGTTGGTTGGTTCGTTGCCAGACAGAAAGAGTTTCTCCTTGCTTATTCTTTCTGGCCATCTGATCTTCAGTGTCAGTATCAAGTGAGCGTAGGTGGCAGCTCATCATGTATGTCTGTAGTTCGTTGGAAATGCTTTTTGTTTTTTGCTCTTAACAATCACATAGAAGCACTGACTTGACTGACATGAGTGTTGAAAACCCAGATCTTGGTGTTTAGGCTGAATACAGTGCAGTCCAGTAGATCAACACACTGATTTCAGATTAATGAAGGCCTGTCTTGGTGTCTTTTCTATCCTTGCTTTGACAAACTCATCTGTGCCTCTGCCGCCTCTAGTTGAAACGATGCTGCCTAGGAAGGCAGGTCAAAGAAACAACTTCCTTTAGGTATCGCCTATTTATGGTGATTGGTGCTTGTTGTTGTTGTTGGTTGGGTATCTTCTTCACCTCTGTCTCCTTTACGTTCACCAGAAGGAAGTTCCCTCTTTGCTACCTCACCCCGCCTCTTCTACCAACTTATAAGTTTTTACCTACAGATCTTCGAGTTTGTGCTACACTGGACATTAGACAGAAATCATCATCGGCGAAATCCAAACATTCCAGTGTGTTTTCACCAGTGAAACAGCGAACGTATGCCCATCTTCTCACTCCTCACAGCTTCTTCATTGATCCAGTTGAGTCAAGTCGACCACGATCAGGAAGATCACCGTTGATAGTACGTGGCAACATTGTCTTACTTCTGTCTCAGCTTCACTTCAAAGGATCACTGAGCTTTCCATTGTGAATCACTTGGCATGTAGCATCACAGAGTATATAACTGTTGAATGAGGTTGATAAAAGTTTGTGGCTCTGAAACTTTAGTGTTGAAGCAGCTGCCTACCAAATTACTTCTCGGTTGATCCTGTCGAAGCCCTTTTCAGAGTGGATGAAGTTGAGGTAGAGATTTGACTGCCATTCTATACTCTGTTCTATGATCATGCATAGCGCAGCGTGGCAATTTGATCCACACATCAATACACAATGATTTTAGATATTTAGCGTAACTCTGAGACCGCCTACAACAGAGAACTCACAGAGTCTGATGTCTATCATCCGTATACAAGTTCAGGCGATGTGATTCCCAACCACAACACACCATATATAACCAGTTTGAAGCTGACTATATGAAATGATAAAAAGTAGTAGGTTAATTTCTTTCAAGATGTTTGAAATGTTTCCGAATCAGAAGTTATAGATAGGTGAATGAGGAGAAGTCATTGGAAAACTCTTGAATCGAACTATGCAATGATGTTACCAATTAAGTTATACATAGAATAATATGTGACCAATGACACTTTTCTGCCTAATATTTATGACAATTACATACAATTAAGCAAATTCAGGTATTCGTGTATTTAATTGAAATTAGACTTTCATATCATCTCAGCCTACCTTGTTGAATTTGTGAATCTATGTCATCACGTCTTGTCGGAACTCGAATATTTACTGCCAGTGTAAAGAGACAAACTTTCTCCTCACTATTGACCATTGCATCAATCTTTGGTTCATCAGGAAACCAAACAAATTCATCTGAAAATAGAGCATAATCAAATTACATAATATATTGTGAATCAATAGGGATGAATGTTTACTGACGATGATTTTCAACCAGTGGATCGTAATTTCGTATTCCTTTCCACTTTACAATAATCAGCCTTCAAACATACATCTGGTGTGGCTCATTGTCTACTGTATGGATATGCACAAAGTTTCTGAGTGTTTTACAAACCATCCATGATCCATATTGACATATCTCATAGGTGAGTAGTTTTCATCTGTACATTTCTCCAGACAGCTAGATGGCAGTGATCTAAATAAATCTGAACTAATTCAGCTCTATAACCTGAAACTATCTGAGTATATCCCTGATGAGCTTTGCACCAAATGAGCGAAACATCTGTATGGTGTTTAGATCACTCTGTTATAGCAGATGAAATTTACACACCAAAGAGAGGGAGAGAGAGGTTTGTAACCACCTAAGTTATTGAGTAATAATAAATATTTTAAAGAAGTTTATCTAAACACACATTCAGATCGATATCTAGACTTCAGCTCATATCATCTAATACCACTTGATGTGGGTTTATTTAAGAGGTTATAATGACCGGAAAACAGAAAATCTTTGATAAGAAATAGGGAATGTAAAATAAAGGCCTCAATACTGTGGAATTATACTCTCAAATTGGATAATGACGGAAAACCTTGATGAAGATTAATCAGGTTGTAGATGTCGAGTTCAAGATGATTCGTTACGTTCATTTACCATGTTGTTGATGCTGTGTACAGTTTTAATGAATTATCACAAAGATTCGATTTCGAGTTACTTGAAGACAGTTGGATTACTTGCTTGCAAGAAGGATCTTTTTCAACATTAGGTTGTGGGACACCTGTCATATCAATTAAAGACTTTACAGATATTAGTAATATGTTTTCAGTGCAATGGTATCAGGAATAGAAGAATATTTGCTCCAAGATGATCTACGGGCCGGATGTCAGGTTTGATGGGGACGATGATATGGAGTTGCATACACATGTCTTGCTTTACAAATCATAGATTATGAGACTTGTATAGCCCCCTTTGATGTGAAAATGAATGGAAAAATTGCGTCTGAAGAGTCATTCAGAGAATAATACTGGTTTCCTTTGTGAAGAAACTGGTATCAGTTCGCCTCTTCCAGATGGAGATGATTTGGCAAACTTGTATTGTTGATGGTGAGTGATAATTGAAGGTAGAGTGAAAATCTGATTCGTGGTAGTGGTCAACTCGGTGACCTCCGGCTACTGGCCCAATACTGAACCACCTGTGCTATGTCGGTGGCGTGAGATAAGATCTTAATTTATCTTATTTGAACCACATCAAAACCCATAAGAATATTCTATACAATTAGTTCCTTGAATAAAAACCTTAACAGAAAGAATCAGAAGACCCGAATTGTCTGAACTGTGTGTAAAGTAATTGCGTGCAACACATTTTCAACTATCTGATAACACAAATCTACTTATCCCCCCCCTTAGGTACTTTTACATGAAAATTCCTAAAGGTAAGCTGAGTGAGAATGTGAAAGGAGATCAAGCAGGCAGGTCGAATTTGAGGTCAACAATCAATAATGAAGGTCCTACATGTGGGTGGCATTCAAAAAAAACAAGGCTTCCTGTTTACTGTCATTGTTCCTACTACTACTACTACTCACACTGCTACTATTACTACTCACACTACAACTAGTACTACTTCTACTCACACTACCACTACTACTACTACTCACACTGCTACTATTACTACTCACACTACAACTAGTACTACTTCTACTCACACTACACTAGTACTCACACTACCACTACTACTACTACTCACACTACTACTACTTCGGTTATGGGCGCTGCTGATCAGAATGGATATAAGGGGTATGTGTTTTCAGGGTGGCACAAATCATTGTGTATTACCGGCAATGGGTTAATTTTCTGCCCGGAAAAACGCAACAGGCAATATAGGACTATTGAGAGCAAATGAAGGTAGAAGCAGAAGAAGAAGTGAAGCATATAATACAAGTGACTGTCTTACTGGCAGGTGTGCATTATTTGACGACTACTGTATTAGATGTGAAGATGAGCGAAAATGGTTGAATCTAAATTGTAAAGTGGTTTTCTAGGTGTATAGTTGATGTTGGTTACTTCAGAGGGAGTCTCAATCACGTAGCTACTATCAGTGAGGCAACCATTCACAACCTGGGGGTATTAGGCGTTTTGTTCCAGTTTGAAAAACTTCATCGTTCAGTATGCACAACCTCGTATAGTTGTGAACCTGGAAGCAGACTGTATGTTGACATTCAATCAGAGAGTTGGTTAGCACTGGTTCTCACATTCAACTTCATTGACTTCACAAGTCATAACTTGCTTAACTTTTAGACAAGTTAAAATTTTCCATTGAATATAACTACATCGAAACGCTCCTTTCAAATTTGTTTAAATCATGCATATACATCTTCAGATCATGTTTCGTACTCTTGTACACATTTAAAATCCTCTTCTTAACTATGGTTTTTGCTAGGTAGAAATGAAATAAAGGCGAAACATCAAGGTGGATGGCAGACAATGGGCCTCTAAGCATACAGCAGTAACCTACATACTGACATTGATGGAATAGTTAGTTCAGTTGGCAGATTATCGCATTGAAGTTGGTTATTTCACCTGGTTTGTACCAACCTAATCGGGTCCTGTTGATGTATGGGGTGAAGTGTACGCGTGGATATAGGCGATGATTTCGTTATAATGTTAGTGAAGGAGTCTCAGTGGAGGCGGGGTAACTTTGAAGGAGTTGCATCCAGCTGACCAGTACGGAATTGGACGAAACACGTGTCATAGACTCCACTGCTAGAGACTATCCATTTTTTCTATCCAGATTTTCAGGTTATCTGTATGAATCACTTCACCATAGAATTCACTGGTAGTTTTGCGTGCATAGCTATTGACTAGGCGATAATGCAACAACAACAACTGGCCGTTACAAGTTATTCTCTATTAACACCACCATCATTGTTAACAATACTGGTTGTATTATGCTCCTTGACCTAAGTTGTTTAATCTCAGAGCTTTCGTCATCTTGCTAGACAACATCATCAGCAGTAACTTCAGTATGAGTGGCTCACTAGCTTACCCTGACCAACTGGTTTCTGATTGGTCGTTTCCTATGATTGTTGTGTCATTGACTGACTGCATAGATTTTCGTGTTGGCTGCTCCTCTACTTGACCTCTGACCTCTCTGTCGTTTATCATGTTTCCTATTGGTTGATAGATTGGGTCTATGTCAATAAATCTGTTGATTGCTTCTAGGAATTCTCTGATATCCTTTGTGTTTCCTCTTCCCGTATAACATTTCTACATTGTCAAAGTCTAATTCATGTCCATGGTTGTTATCCACGTGCATTGAAGTGAGTGATGAAATGTCTTCACACTTAATAGGCAATTTTTGTTCTCATGTGAAGTAAGGCGAAGAGGGAGACCACTTTGTCCAGTGTAGTGTTGATCACAATGATTTCAGTTGATTTTTTAAATGGTGCTTACTTTGTCTTCTTTGACTGTTGTGTCCCCTTTTGGTCTGAATAATAGTGTTTGAAGGGAATTTATTGGTTTATGAGGCGCCACACATCAATCCCATATAGTCTCGGTAATCTTGTCTTGATCTGTGATGTATTCTTTATATACCATTGAATGATGGGTTTGTTGATTTCCATTGATGATGGAATGGTGTAGACATCTACCGATAAAGTTTAGTAGATGGCCGTCCTTCTTTAGGATACACGATCAAACAAACCAGCTGACAGAACACAATACAACCAAGATCTTGTTTGAAATAAAGTGGTTGCTATTGTCGCATCATTGACAGATATAACCTAGAGAACAGTTGAAGGCCTTCGAATACTGATACAGTATTTCGCATAGGCATTTAATACCCTGACTTATCGTTCCTTCATGGTTACGGAAAGGTTTAACTGATAAATTTCCATAGGTCTAAATGGAACCTTCTTGTTGTTTTCAATTAACTATCTACTTCAAGCTGTGATTAGGATTAGACAGAGAAAAGGTGGAGATGTGGCTTCTTAGTTCAAACTCTCGACTTTTCACCCCTTGAACCACCGCATGGTTCGAAACCTATTCCACCTATCAAGGTCTATCAAGCCTATCTCATTGCCTACTGTATGAAGCTGTTAATGAAAGAATACTGAATTGTGTTGTCTTTCGATTTCAGACAGTCCTCTCATGATCCCTTTTATTATTATTATTATTACCATCATAATTATGAGTAATAATTTTATCCTTTTTCAAAAACTTACTATCAGTATCCGTGTTGAAGATTTTTTTAACTGATGGAACCATTTCTTCGAGTAGATTACTAGAATTTGTAATCATCACACCTTTAATTTCAAGTTTCTCCTTCCAAAATCGGATTACATTGATCATTTCTGTTTGTACCTGCCAACAACAACAACAACAACAACAAAAAAGACAACCAGCAATAAAATATTTCTTTAAAAAAAATATTTTTATGGATACCTGTATACTGTCTAGGTAGTCAGGACATGATTTTCACCTTGTTTCAAACTTGTCATTCATTGGAGTACAAATGAATCCAGCTGATGAGTTTCAACTGTTAATCACTTCCAAATCATTCAACAAGTATAACGACATTATCCATCAGTCATTGAAACTTTCAATAATTGTCGTGAGTAAAGCCGATTTAAAAAAAAAATAGATAGAATTCACTACGATAGTGATAAATAACAGGCAAACGTTTTGAAAAGGGTGTTAGTATGTTGAATTTCGATGACCTTGAATGACCATCAAACGACCTTGAACGCACCAATGATAAAACAGTTATTTCTGTCTAACCTTTAATGTTGAAATGAAATTACGGGGGAAAAATATTTCTGATGATGCTTTTTTCTGCCTGAAGAAGAAGTACATACATTGAAGATATTCATTCATATATCTATATAAAGCCTAACATCTTTGAGATACTATATCGATGAGAATAAACCTTCAGTCAGTGTTCTATCACCTCGAAGTTATTTTGTATGAACACCTCCCGTAAAACGATTTCAGAATTTTAGTTCGAGAATCTAAAAGCAGATATTAGGATCATAACAGTTTCAGTTTGAAGTGTAAAACTTGAAAATCAGGTCAAACCTGAAAAATAAACACCAGTATTGTTTCAAGTTGTTATTCATTGTAGACTGACATCAGTTGAAGGAACAAAAGAAACCTGGGAGCACTGGACAGCTGGCTGTTACGTCCTAGTATAGGACTGCTCAGTAGTGCGCACCCACGACCCCGCTTCACCAGGCGTCGAATCCGTGACCTTCAGTTTCTGTGGCCAGCACGATACCATTATGCCACTGCATCAGAATCCAATGCTCCACATTTCCAACTTCTGTTACCTCACGATATACGATGAATAACAACTTGAAATATTTCCAAATCCCCACAACTCCCTTAAAGTTTAACAGTATTGTTTACTGGATAACTTTTCGGACATATTTTTATTATCCACACAACGTTGAGAAGTTATTTACATAGTTCTAAATTCCTCACCTCCTTGGTGATAAGGTTAGTAGGGTTTTTCATATATCCGAAACAAGTGTTGAGTTATTTCTGTTGCTCGATATATTTGGTGTTGATTCAGTTTTCAATTAATCTTCTCTCTCTCTCTACTCTATTACTTAAGTTCTAAACACTTTCAGTTTATCCTAGCCTATTGTGTAGTTGTGTTCAGTTGCTTGCCTGCTGAGCCCGTTCTGTGGATTCCTTATCTTACTGAAATCTACTAATTTTGATATGCCTAGCTTAATTGATTCTGGTCGACTCCTTTAACTGCCTTGTATGATATTTGACCTCATAATCATTGCAAGGGATTTGATCAACTAAAAATCTTGTTTCTAAGCCAGTTTGTAAGTTTAAATGCTTCTTGAATCCCTGCTAGCCTTATTGGGAATCTTACGTAATGTCTCTGAAGTGCCTTCTTTCTACGGCAATACTTTATCGCCAATATTATTATTATCATTATTATTATTAATGTTGTCATTATAAGTCGTATTTTTTTCCAATGAATAATTTAGGAGAGTAAATGCTGATGAGCAAGACGTGCGTAATGTATCTGGTTTCTTGTCTTATCATTATTATTATTATCATTTTACCTTTAGGTTCCTAGTGGAACATAGGGATTCAGTAACACACCTCCATTGCAATCTGTTCTCTGCAGTCTTTTCAACCTGACGCCACGAATGTCAACAAGCTTTCATTTCTTCCTCAAACCATCCCCTACTCCATGTCACCCTCACCTCGGATAGCCAACTCGTCGTTTCCCATTTGAATTCAACTCGACGGTCTGGCCTGGTGCGTGATGTCCCCAGTGGGCCTTATCAGTGTATGCCCAATCCAATCCATCTCTACTTTCTTCTACTGCATATTTAATGAGTGACAGGTTCTTGCTTTGTTGGTTCGTTGCCAGACAGAGGGAGTTCCTTGTTGCTTATTCTAATTATTCTGGCCATCTGAGCAGCTGTTGATGAATGTCTGTAGTTGGTTGGAAGTACTTTTCATGACGCAACAATTTTCTGAAGCATATAGAAGCACTGACTTGATTGGATCGGTGTTGAAAATCCGGATCCTGTTCTTTATGCTGAGTGCGGAAGATCTTCACACTGGTTTCGGACTAATCCAGGAAGGCCTGTCTTGCTGTCTTTTTGATCCTGTCTGCTTTGGTATCCTCTTCTGTGCCTTTGCCGCCTGTAGTTGAAACGATGTTGCCTAGGCAGGTAGGTAGGGGAAAGAGACAACTTTCTTCAGGTTTCTCCTGTTGATGGTGATTAGTGCTTGTTGTTGATGCTATTGTTGGTTGGGTATCTTCATCACCTGCATCTTCTCTACATACACTTGAAATCCAGTTTTCGCTGCCGCTTCTGTCAACTCATTAGTTTTTGCGACATAAGATATTAAATATAAATCATTATGGACGAAATCCAAATTTTCTAGGCTCTTTTCATCGGTCAAGCCAGCGTATGCCCATCTAGTCGCTCCTCACTTTTGTCTGCTGCATGATCCAGTCCACTACAGTAAGGAAGATCATGGGTAGTATTGGATAGCCTTGTCTTACTTCTGCCTTCACTTCACTTCAAAGACGTCACTGAGCTTTGCATTATGGATTACTTGGCATGTGGCATCTTCATACAGCTTAGCCGTTGAATGAAACTGATAAAGACTAATCGCACTCCGTAGTGTTGATGCAGCTGCCTGCCAAATTGCTTCTCGATTGACTCTGTCGAAGGTCTTTTCGGAGTGGATGAAGTTGAGGTAGAGAGTTGACTGCCATTCTATAATCTGTTGTATGATGATCTGTAACGTTGCAATTTGATCCGCATATGATTTGTTCCTCCTGAATCCAGCCTGTTCCGACAGACATTATAATCATTCGATAATCTTTATAGGTACATTGGGGAATGGATATACAATTTCAGTTAGAATATGCTGGTGATTAGTATTAACGAATTTCTCCATTGATTTACCAGGAAAAGAGTGAAGATAAATAATGATAATGATGGTGATGACGGGAGTGATAGTAAAATCAATACAATACAGATTGAGTTGTTTCTTGTTGATCCAGTAATAATGAAGTTCAGACTGGTGTTGACGATAAATGCTTTGAGTAACACCTTTGGCTTAGTAATTAGTAACTGCCAAGAGACAGCTAACCGTACTCCATCTCATCTGTTCAAACTGTCTGGATTTGCTAATATATGCAGGGATTTGGCTGTCAGTCTTTCTTCGTATGACCCAAAACCTTTTGTAGAACCTTACCTCCGTCGAAATCAATTTTGTTTCCCATTTCTATGAAGGGTAACACGATCATGGATTTGTTTTCTAGTTTCTTAACCTTTGCTGAGATTTTTGGGATCTACTTTAAGCATATTTTATGCTTATTGGCTCTTACATTTACCTGCCTTGCTGTTTCCTCTACATATACTGTATGTAGTACAATCTCCTCCGTTGATTTCATAGACGCAGTTCAGCAGAACCGCCTCATCCATTCTCCAATTTACTTATAAAAATTATCGAATGACTATAATATCTTTCATCTGTGACTGTTTTGTCTGATATTTACAATCAAGACAAATATGAATTGGAGTACATACATACATATACACATCCACAGGTCATGTAACAAGAGACATACAATCTCAAATTGAATGATTAATTATCAGAATATAGAAAGAAAATGACCATACGAAGAGGATTGAACAAGGAAGGAGATTAAATACACCTTGTTTTTGGATTGTTTATAATCCTGTCTGCGTTATATTGCGTTATAATTTACCTATTCGTGGACTTCAGGAGGTGAATTTCGTCTAGTTTAAGACTTGCTCGTCAGCTAGATATGCCTGCACTCCGGTGATTGATAGTGTTGCTACCTACACTCTGGCCCTCGTACCTACCTAGCCTGGTGGATTAAGCTTTGCCGTTTGAAGAGATCAGTCTCGAGTCCTAGTTTTAGTAAGGACAACATCACTAGCTGCTGATGAGGACGAAACGCATATCCTCGATTCCACCATTAATATAAAAGGACAGTAATACAAAGAGATATTGTAAATATGTTATACTCACATTTGGATTGGTTAAATTTAATAATGGGCTGTTTGGATTACCATGTACATGTCGATAATAGGCACGTCGAATAGTATCGTAGGCATAGTGTCTTTTCTGTTGATCTGTTGTTGGCTAAAGTTAAAAACAACAAACAATTTTGCTTATTAATAGTTTACTACTAACAAAATAATTTCAGTAGGCTACTTCACTTTGTTAAAAATTATTTTGTGGTTCATGAAAATTTAGTCACCGAAAGTAATTTCAAGCGTTGCATTTGACTGTAATGATTTATTGTGTCTATTTCAGCTTCATCTCAGTAAAAATTATTTGAAGTTATCGTGGAACTCCTTTGAATGCTGACGTTGGCACTCATTCAGTGGTTTGTTACGCCATGTCTGACATACATCATTCAAAATACTGGCAGGTATTAAGTAAAACCTTTCAGAGGGGAAATCAATTCCTTTGACGTTCCATCTACGCTTGGATGAAGCCTAGCCTCAAGGCTTGATACCTGTTTCCTCCATCCAACTAAGATCGGTGTCCCTCTGGGCGAATCGAGTATGTGTCACTTAGTGCTAGAAACATAAGGATGATGACTGGTCCGTCGTAGGACTGGATTTATGGCATGAGCTGGATACTATCGGGTAGCGGAGGTGACTGTCAAGCTATAAGTACCGAAACTATATAATACTCACTGTCTAGTGATTTATTTGTGTAAATGGTCTATACCACAGAGACTGGTCAAACAGTATTCGAGGTACGCGTTTTCAAACTTATTACTACTATTACTTTTTTTCCTTTGGGTTCCACGTGGAACATACAGATTCATTAGCACGTCTTCATTCCACTCTGTCCTCGAAAGGCTGCTGGACATGGTGCCACGACTAACCACAACCTTCAATTTCTTCTTCCTCGCATCATCTCCTCCATGTCACCCTTGGCTAGGACAACCAACTCGTCGTTTCCACTTTTGGATTCCAATCAACGGTCTGGCCTGGCACGTGATGTCCCCAGTACGTCTACTCAATGCATGCCCAATCCAATCCTTCTCCAATTTCTTCTACTGCATAGTTGACGAGCGATAGTTTATTGGCTGGTTCGTTGCTAGAGTTCCTTTTTGCTTATTCTTTCTCGCCTCCTGATCTGATCTTCAGTATAGAGTGAGCGTGGTTGGCAGCTGCTGATGAATACTTGTAGTTTGTTGTAAATGCTTTTCCTGACGCGCCAAGTCTCTCAACCATCACATAGTAGCACTCACTTGACTGACATCGGTGTTGAATATCCGGATGTTGTTCACGCTTTGTGCTGAGTGCAGTCCAGTAGATCTCCACACTGATTTCACACTAATGAAAGCCTATCTTGCTTGCTGTCTTTCCGACCCTGGCTGCCTTTCACATCCTCATCTGTGCTACCACCGCCTGTAGTTGAAGCGATGGTGCCTAGGATGGTAGGTGAAAGAGGCGACTTCCTTCAAGTTTCTCCCATTGGTGGTGATTGGAGCTTGTTGATGTTGTTGTTGTTGGTGGTGGTGGTGGTGGTGTTGTTGGTTGGATACCTTCATCTCCTCTATCTTCTCTATGTTCACTTGAAGTCGCGTCTTCACTGCCTCACCTCTTCTGTCAACTGGTTAGATTTTGCCTGTAGTTATTCGAGTTTGTGCGACATTGGACACAAGTCGTCGTGTGAATCCTAATCTTCTGGGTTCTTTTCCGGGGTCCACCGTATCCCTCTCTTCTCATTCCTCACAGTTTTCTGCATGATCCAGTCCACTACAATCAGGAATATCATGGGTGATAATAGACAGCCTTCTGTTACTCCTGTCTTTACTTCACTTCACTCCAAAGGCATCATTTAGGCAAGTGAAAATCTGAAACAACTTTAGAAAAAGTCAGTTATCAATGCTTTTTGTGATGCATACGAAACCTATCAGACGTTGGCTGGATGATAATCAAGTTGGATATATTAGAAGTAACTGTACTCTTCAAGAAAAGCGTATCAATAAGAAATCATTCTATCGGTAAAACTGACCAATTGCTTCATTTTTGCTAACTTTTAATCACGTTAGTAAAATGATCACCTCTCTTGATGACAACACATACTACTGAAGGATGTGAGTAGTTGGATACCACTCATACTGACCAAATCAGAGTGAGTTAGGCACCGCTTCCTGATTTACCTGAACAAGGTCACCTTATAGGGTTGAATTGTTCAAATCAACTTAACCGGGCCATTTAACGCAGATGAAATAGTATTCCCTAAATATACTGGTGAATTTGCGGATGATTTATTACCCGATGCTGACATCTCCTACAGTGGAGTAGTATTTCATCTGCAAACCAACTGTGGTGTTGACAGGATTCCCATTGAAAACCAACCCATCTAGATCACATAGTGTCCTATCTGACACAAAAGTGTCATCGAATAGTAAAGTATTCTACTAGTGAACAGATTGAGAACAGTACAAATCATTCAAACCAATTAGATCAGGATGATCAAAACACTGGAGGGTAGTTTCGTTCGTTCAGAGCTCATCAACAGTGAACAAATTCAACTTATGGAATCGGATGATGACACATTTGGGATGATAATTAAGAAGAGTCCTCAAATGTGAGGAATCTTAACGTCGGGTGTACATTTAGTAAATCATTTCCAATGTTTATAAATACTTTGGTAAAACTCCATTATTACCCGACCTTGTTTTATGATGTAATATATGGGGGATTTTCTGTAGACCAAAATAAGCAACCCTGGATACTCATAATTGTGGTTACAAGGTTTTTGAAACTCACCTTAACACTAGTCCATATATAATATGATGCATAAACACTGTTAACATCTGTTTGACTAACTCGAAACCATTCATGTTGGTTACTTGTTGCATAGATTGGTAGACCAATCATTATTTTTATCGGTTTACTGAATTTTAATTTACCCATAGGTGATTTTGACTTTTTTAACAGTTGTGATAATAAACTACTAAACGCTTCCTTATTTGGATCAACAGACTGATTAATTATCTCCCAATTGATAATACCATTTATATCGGAAGATATTAAATTTGTTAGTAGGATACTTGTAGCACCGACCTAAAAACAGATTGATGGAGTAGAATATGAAGTTGATTAAATCAACGTAAAAACTTGAAGACAAGTGAAACACTTTATATCATTAAACGTCGAAAAACAAAGAAGAAATGCAGTGTGATGTGATACGATACAATGCGATGCGATGCGATGCGATGCGATGCGATGCGATGCGATGCGATGCGATGCGATGCGATGCGATGCGATGCGATGCGATGCGATGCGATGCGATGCGATGCGATGCGACGCGACGCGATGCGACGCGACGCGATGTGATGCGATGCGATGCGATGCGATGCGATGCTATACGATACTATGCGATACGATGTGATGTGATTCGATTCCAGTACATTTTTTCTATCTTAAACCAATATGTCTCACAGTCAGACTGCTCTGCAGTAACACTCATCTTTGGATGACTCAGGTAATGAAAATGTGGGTCATTTTAAACCCCGTTGAGATTTCATGAGTAATGAATCCATTAGTACTTATGCAGTTATGTAAGCAGTGGAAAAAGTTGGAACATTTCAGCACATCTCATTATCTAACCTCTAACTACTGAAACACGATGTTCACGTAAAGATTTCTATCATAATCTTGAAATGAATCGACTATGCATTGTAGGATGCTTGTGCGTCACTTTGTAAAGGATATCAAGGGACAAGAATGTGATCAGATATTCAGTTGGTCACTGACACAAGGTACCTCGAAAGAAAGTCAATATTTCGAGCTGTTGTTTATAGGCGTAGGAGTTTCCATCGTACACAGTTCGCTTTGTACCATTCTATGATTTTTAGGATCTCATTGTACGACTTTCTTATTGATTTCACTAAATAATAAAAACAATTCTACCTTTTCATCGAATTTCAGTGTGGGGGTGAGCAAATTCAGTAGTTTAGTACGGTGAAATTATTTAAAATTGTTTAAGTTGGTATTCATCATGAACTGGAGACAGTTGGAGGGACACTGGCAACCTAAGAGCACTTGACAGCAGCCGTTTTGTCCCAGTACAGGACTTCTCAGCAGTTCAAACCCATCACCCTACATCACCACCAAATAAACCCGTGAACATATTTCCATATTTCCAACTTCTGTGAGTTCACGATATAGCACAACCGTCACTCAATTCCATCACTGAGTATTTGTCTACACGTCCACCACGTTTGCCCCACTGGTCACGCCATCTCACTGGAACTTTGGTCTCTATTCGGCGTAGGAAGGAAATTTGTTGGTTTATGAGGCACCACACCACTTCCAAGTGACCTCAACAGTCTTGATGTGGTCACTACTAATTGCTGCATGAATTGAAGGATTATTCGTTTGCTGATTTCTTTGGATAACTTTGTAGACAATGATGAGATGGATAGATATGCGTAATCATTCTTCTTAAGGATAGGCATTAAGTTATTATACTTAAATGAAATTCGTCCATTTATAGTCTTTCTACACCTGAAACCTTGAAAAAATCGATTTCCCTTTAGAAGAAACATCGTTCAATGTCGATGTGACAGACTACAGGTTGTGATTAAATCTGTGATCAATCGAATTATGCAAATAAAACCGATCATCAGATGTTAACCTATATGACTATCAATTTATCAGTACCGAGTAAAGTCTATCGGTCGATTCTGCATACAACTATCAGACAAAGTGATAAAAACACCGCAATCTACCATACTTTGATGTCACACTTACAAAAGAACATACACCATGTTGCCAAGAGATTAATGATGGATCGTAGCTAGCAGTAGAATCCAAGATGCGCATTTCGTCACCAGTTAGCTGGATGTACCTGTCTACCAGTGCGAAGTGATGTTGTGCCCATCACCGCAATTCAAACTCGGCAACGATCGCTTCAAACGCCAGAGCGTTATACATTACACCACCGAGCCACGATAGCCAATTCTTGTGCAACGGGTATAGTTGTAGTGTTATTGCTTGTATTACACCGTGGTTGATTGGACCGAAATTGATCCGTCTCTATTGACATATGGGGATGGTGTGAGGATGCCTCGATATTACCTATGCTGTAATGGTAGTAATGATGGATCGTAGCTAGCAGTAGAATCCAAGATGCGCATTTCGTCCGATTTGGGACTCACCAGTCAGCTGGATGTACCTGTCTACCAGTGCGAAGTGATGTTGTGCCCATCACCGGGATTCGGACTCGGAAGCAAGTAATAACACTAAAAGTATAGTTTTGTTTAGAATCAACTCACTTGACTAGATAAATATGCCATACGTGGTATAATATCTTGTAAACGTCCAACAGGTCCTTGTACATCATTAGCCCATGTTTCAACATTAATTTGATAGATATGTGTACGACGCCACCATGGTTGAGCAACTGGTAAATTTGGCATATATACTTTATAAGCATATGGGATACCAACAGCCAATGCAATTATGATTAATATGATTAGAATAATAAGAATAACCAATAAAATAATGAAAGTTTTTATACTTAAACCTCCAGGTGGTTGAAATTGTCTATAAATGAGAATGAAAAAATTCAGAAAAAATAATCAAAAAATTAACAAGATATTAGAGAATGAAATGTGTTTATGAAGAAAAATATCAAACTGGTAAGAATAAGAAAATCATTTCATTTCGTTACTGTCAGTTAGAAATTTATTCTATGACTTTAAAATCTTTTGAGTGTAAACCCACCCCCTCCCCCGCCCCCCAATTCATTGTACTTAATAAAATGAAAATTTCTCTCATCTTAGAGTTTACAGTATGGAGTAACTTAACGCAGTGTTAAATGTAAGACTACTGATTAACTGTCCTATTTGATAGAGGATCATAAAGTGATACCGAAAGAAAATGATGTAACCAAGGATTATTATTATGATCTGTCTATTGAATTCCTTCAGTAGTATGCCTCCATTCCATTCTCTTCTCTCCAATCCTTTAAACCTGGCTCCACAACTGACCACAACCTCTCTTTTCTTCCTTACACCACCCCTTTGGGATTCCACTCGACGGCCTGGCCTGGCAAGTGATGTCCACAGTCGGCCTTCTCAGTGTATGCCCAATCCATCTAAATCTCCACCTTCCGCTTATGCATACTTTTTAGGTGGTGGGTTCTTGGTTGGTTCATCACCAACCAGCCAGAGTGACTTCCTTGTTGTTTACTCTTATTATTCTGATCACCAGAGCTTCAGTAACCAGCCAGTGTAGGCAGTTGTTGATGAATATTTGCACTTTGTTGGAAATGCCATTCGTAAAGCGCCAAGTCTCTCAACCATCATATAGAAGCACTCACTTGACTGACATCGGTGTTGAATATCCGGATGTTGTTCACGCTTTGTGCTGAGTACAGTCCAGTAGATCTCCACACAAATTTCGCACCAATGAAAACCTATCTTGCTTGTTGTCTTTCCGATCCTGGCTGCCTTTCACATCCTCATCTGTGCCACCACTGCCTGTAGTTGAAGTGATGGTGCCTAGGATGGTAGGTGAAAGAGGCGACTTCCTTCAAGTTTCTCCCATTGGTGGTGATTGGAGCTTGTTGATGTTGTTGTTGTTGTTGTTGGTGGTGATGTTGTTGTTGGTTGGATACCTTCATCTCCTCTATCTTCTCTATGTTCACTTGAAGTCGCGTCTTCACTGCCTCACCTCTTCTGTCAACTGGTTAGATTTTGCCTGTAGTTATTCGAGTTTGTGCGACATTGGACACAAGTCGTCGTGTGAATCCTAATCTTCTGGGTTCTTTTCCCCAGTCCAGCATATCCCCCTCTTCTCGTTCCTCATAGTTTTCTGCATGATCCAGTCCACTACAATCAGGAATATCATCCGTGATAGTAAACAGCCTTCTCTTACTCCTGTCTTCACTTCACTTCAAAGGTATCACTAAGCTTCCCATTGTGAATTACTTGGCATGTGGCGTCTTCATATATTTTTTGAACGAGGTTGATAAAGGTTTGTGGTATTCCACAGTGCTGGAGCAGTTTCCAAATTACTTCTCGGTTGCCTCTGTCGATGGACTTTTCAAAATCGATGAAGTTGAGGTGAGGTAGAGTTGAGTTGACTGCCATTCTATGCTCTGTTCTATGATGATGCGTAGCGTCGTAATTTGGTCCGCACATTATTTGTACTTCCTGAATCCAGCCACTTTTTTCTGGTCGTAGTTTGAATCCAGTGCATCCTTCAGTCTCTCCAGGCAACCAAGGATATCAAATAGAAATCAGTCATCCGAGTAGATATGATAAGCGAATTCATATCAGCCGTCAGTAATAACAACTAAGATCAAAGGTGAGAAGAGTAGGTAGAAGCTGACCGATAGCCTACTCAAAATGTCATAACAAATAGAGAACGAATTAACTGATGATTGGGTAGTGCATCTTTCAAGACATCAATTATCTACAAAAGAATGCGATTTTACTTCACAAGCAACTAAAGTATAACACTGGGAAAACAGATAAACATGATTTACTAGAAGACAAAGACTATCTGAACAATATGTGTGTGTCTGTGATGTATTTGAGTAATACACACTTCGAACAATCTGATCCCCCCCCCCCCAGACAAACACATTTACCTCTCTCAAGTCGTCAGTTTACATATGAAAGTGAAAATAGAAAGTTTGATGGTCAAGTCTGATGAACATGAAAAGGTTGTGACACTAGTCTTGGTGAAACAACAACAACAACAAAGGAGGCTGAATTCTATGAATGGCTAACACTACGGCATATTCCAGTATACACCTCTGACTGTTCCTTATATAAAATCTTGAATGATGTTTTCGTATTCACCTTTTGATTCATTTAGATGGTTATGTTTTCCTGTGACTGAAGATGGATGTCTGTCACCTGTCTGTATCATAGTTTCTGTCTTCATTGAAGGGTTACTCCTCCTGATGTATGTGTTTCTACACACACATGTAGATTGGTAAACATAGTAGAATGCGACATAATCAATTATCATTTTGATTATCTGAGATGGCAGCCCTGATTTGACAGATTAACATTACTAATAATCAGTGATGATTGAAGGTGAAATAAAAATTTGGACTGCCATCAAACTCGAACCAGTGACCATCGGGTTTCTGGCCCGATAATGAACCAACTGGGAAACTACCTCCCCGAAGCCTACAATTTTCTCGGTCCCAAAGAAAGATATATTTCTTAAAATACGACAAACATCAGCTTCAGATAAATGATTGCATTACTTCATGCTGCTTTTATCAGTTTACATATATATATGTGCGCACATACACATCGGGAGGAGTAACCCTTCAATGAAGACTACGGTAGTTGAATACACAAACTATGATACAGCCAGGTGACAGACATCCATCTTCAGTCATAGCAAAACATAACCGTCGAAACGAATCATAAGGTGAATACGAATACATCACACAAATATTGTTCAGATAATCTTTGTCTTTTAGTAAATCATGTTTATCTATTTTCCTAGTGTCCTTTGAATAAGAGAAGAAAAACCGTCATCATGAATAGAATGAACCATTACAGAAAGATAAATGAAGATTGCTCAACGATGAAAAAGTGTAACAATAATTGAATCAAAATCCAGTCAAACAGTTAAACAATCAAACGCATAGAAAACTGACGAAGTTGGTAAGAGAAGAACAATGATGGATGAAAATTCTGTGGTTAACTCGAAATCGATATTCCACTTTAACCAATAATCTCATTTCGAAGTAGCATTCATCATGGACTGACATCCTTTGGGGAACCATTGAAAATCTGGGAGCACTGGACAACTGTTTCTTCCTAGTATGGGACTCCTCAGTAGTAGGCACCCACAATCCACCTAGGGATCGAACTCAGCACCTTCAGGTTTCACGGTGAACGCGTTAACCATTCAGCCACTGGGTCAGTCGGTTTCCAGTGGTTCACAGTTTCCAACGTATATCAATTCACGATATAGCGCGACAATCACCCAACGTCTTCAGTTAGCTTCCAGATGAATATCAAGAAGCTCTAATGAGAAGCCGTGACCTGTGGGGTCAACCAGTCAGAAGTGAAGTGGATGCTAACTAAAGACCTTGGGTGATAGTCGTGCTATGTCGTGAACTGACAGAAGTTGGAAATTGTGAACCAATGGAAACCGACTGACCCAGTGGCTGAATGGTTAACGCGTTCACCGTGAAACCTGAAGGTGCTGAGTTCGATCCCTAGGTGGATTGTGGGTGCCTACTACTGAGGAGTCCCATACTAGGAAGAAACAGTTGTCCAGTGCTCCCAGATTTTCAATGGTTCCCCAACTGACGTCAGTCCATGATCAATACTACTTCTAAATTAAAGAATCCCTATTAATCTCAAGAATACAATAACCTAATTACCTGTAATATTTCCATTCAATTTATCCAGAGAATTTTACAAAAAAAACTCAGTCAACAAGATAAATGAATTTCTAGACAAAACAAAAGATTTTTCGATAAATAGTGATGAAAAGATGATATTGTTTTAGATGAATTTATCATCACGTTTGGTGATAAATCTTTTACAAGAAAATATTTAAACTTGAAGAACCCTTTGCCACCATAACAAACTCAAAGATCTACAGGCAAAATCTAACCAGTTGACAGAAGAGGTGAGGCAGTGAAGACGCGACTTCAAGTGAACATAGAGAAGATAGAGGAGATGAAGGTATCCAACCAACAACAACATCACCACCAACAACAACAACAACAACATCAACAAGCTCCAATCACCACCAATGGGAGAAACTTAAAGGAAGTCGCCTCTTTCACCTACCATCCTAGGCACCATCACTTCAACTACAGGCAGTGGTGGCACAGATGAGGATGTGAAAGGCAGCCAGGATCGGAAAGACAACAAGCAAGATAGGTTTTCATTGGTGCGAAATTTGTGTGGAGATCTACTGGACTGTACTCAGCACAAAGCGTGAACAACATCCGGATATTCAACACCGATGTCAGTCAAGTGAGTGCTTCTATATGATGGTTGAGAGACTTGGCGCTTTACGAATGGCATTTCCAACAAAGTGCAAATATTCATCAACAACTGCCTACACTGGCTGGTTACTGAAGCTCTGGTGATCAGAATAATAAGAGTAAACAACAAGGAAGTCACTCTGGCTGGTTGGTGATGAACCAACCAAGAACCCACCACCTAAAAAGTATGCATAAGCGGAAGGTGGAGATTTAGATGGATTGGGCATACACTGAGAAGGCCGACTGTGGACATCACTTGCCAGGCCAGGCCGTCGAGTGGAATCCCAAAGGGGTGGTGTAAGGAAGAAAAGAGAGGTTGTGGTCAGTTGTGGAGCCAGGTTTAAAGGATTGGAGAGAAGAGAATGGAATGGAGGCATGCTACTGAAGTTGTATGTTCTACTAGAAACCCAAGGTAAAATTAATAATAATAATAGCACTGTCATTCTTGTCTTGAGCTAAATTTTTACTCCATAATGACATTGATAGATGGACAGACAGACGAACAGGCGGTGTGACATATAGACAGGCGAAATCAATGAAGAATCTTCCACAGAATTCCATGAAT